CGATGGGTTAAAAAAGTTATTGATTAAAAAACGATTCGTTTATAAAGTCAACCTTTCTTGATGATTTTTTGGAATATCTCGGCCAAATAATGTCTCGATTTCGGAATGTTATACCATTTTCGACTCGTAAGGATGAGTACTATCAATTTGCATCAAAATCGATGGGTTAAAAAAGTTATTGATTAAAAAACGATTCGTTTATAAAGTCAACCTTTCTTGATGATTTTTGGAATATCTCGGCCAAATAATGTCTGATTTCGGAATGTTATACCATTTTGGACTCGTAAGGATCAGTAATGTCGATTGGAATTAAAAAATGGAAACCCCGTTTTTCGACATAAAACGTGATGATGAAATTGCCTTTTGATGAAATGTCGTCAAAATTTAGAATTTGAATGCAAATCGGTAGTATCGAAAATCCAAATGGTATGAAACTCTAAAATCTAGGTTTTTTTACCGAGTAATGTAAATAGGATATTTGAGGGTTCCATTTTCACATGAATTTTGACCATGAATACTGTTGCCAGACTAAGATGCCAAATTGATCTAGTTAGTCAGACAGGGGTTTTGTTTTTAATGTATTAAAGCTTTTAAATTAAATATGATAATGATTATTTAAAATATAATATTATTATGATATAATATATACATTACTCAGCAGGTTCAAATCTAGCAGAAATTTGCAATTGCTATATTGCTATATTTATTTATAACATTTGTTATTATTGACAAAGAAAATAGAAAATTCTTTTACCTGTGCATTATTTAAGAACCAAGCCAGCAATTGACATAGTAATAAGGAAACGAATACAAAGCATAAAAACAGACTTGAAGATTTTTGAAGAGTTTATCTTAAAAGTATTTCTTAAGGGCTGCGCAATTTTGAGTAATTGTTTGCACACACTGCCAAGTCATGGCGATTACATGACTGAATGGATAATGGCAAGTGGAGACCGAGAGAGAAGAGGGGAGGAGCGGCAGGGCACCATAAGGAGGCGATGAGTGGGCAAATGGCTGAGTGGATGAGCCACAGCAACAAGCTGTGCGGCAGCAGCAGCTGCGTCTCTTGGCCATAAATTGAGACGCTGGCCAAAAAGAGTGCTGCCAAATGGCTTGCATAAAGCTGGTCAACTCAATTCAATTGCTGAATGGCCATTTTGTGGCCTGGCCAAATCGATTTGGCCGCCACACGCCGTCTAGACACTGTGCCAAGTTCTTGACACCCTTCAACCCAATGCAGCTGCAACTGTTGCAGCTGTTGCACCTGCTTGGGTTTATTGTGGCAAATGCAGTGGCACATAACTTTTGATATTGGCCATGTTACCTGCTCTACTTAGCTTGTATTTAAATCAAATTCCCACTGGCTGCCACAATTATGTAGCAGCTCAACAAGTGGCAAAGGGTGCCCCGCCGCCGCCGTCGCCTGCTGCCGGCTGAGCTCAATAACTCAGTGCTGTGGAAAATTGCCTCCGGTTGTTGCTGACGTGTTGCATTGCATTTTTAGCATGTTTTTTGTTTAGCTATTTTTTCTCTCTTCTTTTTAGCTTATTTTCGCACACACAATTTGCATTTTTGTAGCTGCACATGCAATGGGCGTGATTAACTACTTCCCTTCGTGGAACAGGAATTGCCTTGTTCCACAGTTGGTTAGCTTCAAATTCAAATTGCAGTTGACACTTGAGCTGATTGCAATTGTTGTCGTCTAATTGTTGGGTAATATGATACGCGTAATAACTCAACTTGTGCACGGTTAAATATTAGAGAAAAAGTCCTTTTCCAGTTACAAAGAAACGGAACAGAAAAGTAGGATTGTGATTCTTCTTTCCCATGGGTATTTATTGTCCTATCGAAATGAAATTTTCAGGGAAATAAATATGAAAGCCAAATATGTCTCAATACCAGAGCCCAAGGCTATAGCTCTACTATTAAGTATGTCACTTCTTTTTCGTATTTACGTATATCTTTTCAGATATTAATGCTGATCACGAGGTTGTATACCTTATAATGTCGGCAGTCGGTCGGTGATGATGACAAAGTTTCCATTATACTAATATATAAAGAAACTTTTCACATAGTGAAAAACCCAACATTTATGCAGAACTAAAGTCCAACGATGAAACTGAAGGCAGAACAATAGAAGTTCATACAAAATCGTAAAAAATAATTCTAATTTAAAAGCTGATGAAGTCATATATAAGAATATTTATCAGTAATTTTTTACCAATATAGCTAAAATGCGGATGCAATGATTAAAATATAAATTTTTATAAATAAAATTGTTTGTTTTTTTCAGTTGACACCTTAAAGATACTTATGATAATTTGTATTTAAGCTCAGAAAATCATGATGAGCTCAAAAAAAAAAAAAGAAAACAAGAAGCTGAGTCACAGATCAAGAAATTCGTGATGAACAACTACGTGAATTGTCTAGCTTTTTGTGATTTATTTGCACTCACGAATCAAATAGATAAATATTAAGTGACTCGTCTATTGACTTGCACTTAACTCACAAATCTGAATACCAAAGGCCATAATGAACATATTAGTTGGCAACCAAAGCTGAGCTGCTCTTCAGATGCTTCACTTGGCGCACAAACATTTAATTAACGCTCTAAAAGCAACAATTTTGGCATCAATTCGAGTGCATTACCAATTTGAAGTGGACGTAATTGCTAACTGGATTGTGATTAAATGTTTTTGCGCCTTTGGCTGCCAATTAAGAGAAACACAACAACACAGAACATTAAATAGACAAATGTGCGGGAATAGAAACTGAGGAAAAGCACGTGGGCTGAGCCGTTAAAGTTGGTCTGAGATCCTTAAAATAAAAGCGAGAATATATATCTTTATATAAAAGTATTCATTATTGTATTTATTTATTAATTGATTTAAATAAATGAATTGACAGCAAAGAGTTCTGGTGTATAAAAACTTAACTTTATAAAAAATAAATATTTGCTCTAGTTAAAAAAAAACTTTTAACATGTTTTAATCTCAATTTATAGACAACTTTTATGGAAACTATTTTAGTTATATATTTATTTTATACATTTAGCTTATATTATTTATTATATTTCTTATTTAAGTAAATGAAATGTAAATATATGCAACCATAAATGTTTATTTAAGTTGAACTTTGGGTTAATAGCTGTCAATACCCTATATGAAGGGTAGAACAAAAGTGCAATCACACTTACTTTTCAATGTATTCCTATTTAAAATCAACATGAACAGGCAAGTCTATATTGTAGGCTATACAGTACGCTTAACTATACGATTTTCAAGAATTGTATAGATGACTTATCAATATACGTCACATAAGATAAGTTTAGATATAAAAATATTAATCTCAGTATACTATTTTAGTGTACTGTCTGCAATACAGGGCATTTGTTAGTCGAGCACATTGTATTCAAAACTTTCTTGTTTGCGTCTTTTCAGATAAAAAGATATTTAGTTCTAATCTAAAGAGTCGGCTGTGCGGTAAGTTTTTCCGCTCGCAAATGTGGAAAATCATTTACTGTCTACCTAGAAGTGCAAAAAATGTACCTGCAGTAAAATTGGGTTGTGAATTTTGCCAGTACCTAAACGAGCGACAAGAAATCTAAATCTAAATATTTGTTAGGATCTACTTGGGTATTCAGGGGAAATTTTGTTGATAGAGCAACAGACATGGGAATTGGCTGGAAATTGTGGAAATTTTGTAACATCCAAATTCCCCTCGAAGAGCAGACCGCAAGCAGGTAAAAGCAGAAGAGCTTACTTTTAAAATCGCTGATAAATTTGAGTATGTTAACATTAGATTATACTTCACAAAGTACTTCCTAAGTCTTATTCTAAGGCACTTTAGTTTGTTTCTATCAAATTTAAAAGGCACTTAAGATATAGATATAGCTTATACTCTTTTGAGCTGGCCTTGGCTTGATCGTTGGAAGGTTTTTTAGTTCTTCTTGATAAAAATCTTTTTCTTTATCAAAATATCTTTACTTATCTTGGTTTTTACTATTTTTTTTTTATACTTATATATATGCGCACAATTATATTAATATCGGAAGAGAGAATTGGTGCCAAAATATATTTATTTTATGAACAAAAATTTCTCTTTTGAGTACACTCAGCAACTGTGAGCTTCACTCCTAGCACATCTGCAAGTCACGGCATATAGAGGTTCCTTCTTGTTTTCAGTTTCCAATCGAACAAATATATAACAAATATATTGAAATATGCCGCGATTTGGCTGCAAGGGCATTTAATCTTCGATGTGCTGTACAGCTGTTTTATTGTAGTTATTGTTTTATTTATCAGCAGTGCAATCAATTATATGTAGCTTAGTTTTGAGTGCCTCCCCATCCAGACATTGTCTCAGACAGTTGACATTAAACGCTGCTCGGGATCACAGACAATTTTCGCACCAAGGTCAGTTTCCAGTTAGCCCTGATCGAAAAAGGCAAAAAAAAACCCTGCCACTTTAGACATAATACAGGCAGAACACGCCAGATCCAGTTTTTTGAGGTATGTAGTACAACTAATACCGAGTGTTAGTTGCTATAGAAAGTGTATACATAAATGATGAAATAATTATATACAGCTTATCACTATGGAGGCTGCTGCTGCAGTGCGCCGGAGCGAGAGGGAGATATGTAAACAAAAAACTGTTCAAACTGATACTGGGCACTGATAATAGCAAGAAGCAGAGGCGCCTGGTACAGCTGCTGCTGTATAAATTACTATCAGGACGCGGGCAGAGACAGAGCTCATTATCAGCCGCCTGGCTGCGAGAGAGTGAGAGAGCGGAAGATGCAGAGAGATATAAAGAGGGATTGAGGGAGAGAGAGAGAGAGGGAGAGAACTGGAAGGGCGATAGCAGTTGGTTTCTTTTCAGATTTTTTTTTTGTTCTGCTCTCACAAATTTTTGATATTTTTGGTCAGACAGAGCTGACTTGTTGCCCCGAGGAGCAGAGCAGAGCAGAGCGGACGATCGAGCCGAGCCGAGAGACTGAGACTGAGACGTGACTTTCGGATTGTGCCACAGGCAACCTGTCATAATTATCTGGGATACGCGCACTCAGTCAGTCCATCAACGTCTGCTTGTGCCTCAACATGTGGCTGCTGCTGCCGATACTCGTCTACTCGCTGATCTATCTATATGTTCGGCACATCTATAGCTACTGGCGGCGCAAGGGCTTCCCAGGCGAGACGACCGCATTCTCCTGGCGCTATTTGAAGCAGTTCTATCGCCGCGAGTTCCGGCACGTGGAGGCCATATGTGAGGCCTACCATCAGGGACGCGATCGTCTGCACGGCATCTATTGCTTCTTTAGGCCCGTGTTGCTGGTGCGTAATCCGGAGCTGGCCGGCAACATATTGCAGCAATCGAATGGACATTTCAGTGAATGCAAATGGGATTATGTGAAGGGCTATCGGCGCTTCAATTTGCTGGAGAAGCTGTCGCCCATGTTCAGCTCGAGGCGTTTGTCGCCGATGTTCAACAATGCCCAGCACGTGGCCCAGCACATGATGCAACATTTGCTGGACAGGGAGCAGCAGGGCAATGTGGAGCTGGATCTGCAGCGGCTGCTGCGAATGTGAGTAACAGGGACAAATCAAGTCCAACTCAAAACTAAACTTCTTGAAACCTCTCCCAGCTATGCTGTGAACATGATGGGCAATCTGGTCTACGGCCTGGATGTGAACAACTTTGAGCAAACGGATCACATACTCAACAGCTATGTGCAGCATCCCTCGCAATACGGCATGCTGCAGTCCTTGTAAGTATCCGTGCAGCGTCTCACTTATTCCGTAATAAACAGATTCCATGCCTAGCACTTTGAGAGGCACGCCACAAGACTCGAGGCTAAGTAGTCGCCTCAAGGACCTCATCAAGCAGAATGTGGAGCTGCGCGAGCAGAGCGGCATCATGCGCAAGGACATGCTCCAGCTGCTGGTCAAGTTTCGCAATGGCAACGATCTCGCCAGCGACAAGTGGCAGGTCGATCATGCATTCGGTAAGTTGCCCTCTCTCTCTCTCTCTCTCTGTCTACCCTATAGCATAGCTTACGTCTTTTTCAGCTACAGAAGAGGACAAGCTGATGTCTGTGAAACGCCTGGCCAAGGTAGCTGAGGATCTGCTGCACTCCGCCTTGGACAGCATTGCTTCGACCATAACGATGACGCTCTACGAGATCGCGCAGCAGCCGCTGATTGTGGAGAAGCTGCAAACTGAGATTAAGGAGCTCAACTTTGTGGATGGTCAGCTGACGTTTGAGCAATTGGAGGAGCTCAAATATATGGAAATGTGTCTGAAAGGTGAGCATATTAAAGTAAATTTACTTTGGCTTTATCATACAATATAGCTTACGTTTAATCATTGTACTCCTTAAGTCTTATCCCAGTCAAAAGTACTTTAACTTCATTCTATTTATAAATAATCGTACTGCATGAAAAACGTACTTTTGATTCATCCCATTCCTTGCATAGCGTACTTACGCTTCATCACAACTCTCGAACATGTTGCAACTCGAGCAGTTCGAACTTCAGTTAAAGAGTTCGGGTTTGATGAATCGTCTATTTGAACTCGAGAGTTCGAGTCTGACGCTTTTCGCTTAAATCGACTGAGCTTATTGCAAATTATTTATCCTACACTCGGGTCTAACTTAGACAATCGTAGGTCATTTTAGAAAAGCGTGATTTAGCCTCCTCCCACCACTTTAGATTAACTTCACGCCTAACGTAGCATACTCTGAGGTTACCTTTAACCCTTTACCACTTACATAACGTCCCTTAGGCTTTATTGTGGTTGCCATCTCAATTTGAGTAACCTTCATCAATCCCAACTAAATATCCCATTGTTCTGCTCCACAGAAACCCTTCGCAAGTATCCGCCAGTGCCCATTATAGAACGCATTTGTCGCAAGTCCTACACTTTGCCCGGCACCAAATTCAGCATTGGGGAGGGCAAAACGCTGATGGTGCCACTGCTGGCCATACAACGAGATGGCAAATACTTTGGAGAGCCACTGAAATATAAACCACTGCGTTTTCTGCATGACAAGAGCCAGGATATCGGACAGCGACGTTCGGCCTTCGTGGGCTTCGGCATCGGCGGTGCACAATGTGCGGGTAAGTGGCGAGAAGAAAGGTATTTTTAAAGGTGAACAAAATTAAGCTGTGTTTTCCCCTCATTCGTTTTACGTTTCCGCAGCACAAAACTTTGCCAAAATGGTCATTAAGCTGGCGCTTGTTAAGCTGCTGCAGAACTATCATCTGGAATTGGATGCGAGTGCTACAGTCGAGGTCTCACATCTGCCGGCGCCGTTCATAAGCTCCAAGGGCGGTCTCAAAGTTCAATTAAAAGCGCGTGCAATTTTAACACAAAGCAATTATCTTAAAAGTTCAAAACAAATTTAATTTATGCAACACGTGACGTATTTTCTTCTCTCTATATATATATTTTTGTATACTTTTCCAACACTTTATTTGGGTATTGTGTTGCTAGCTGTGAGCACCTAAAAATATGCCATAAATAAAATCAGTAAATAATGACCTGAAATTGCGTTGTTCTTGATATTATACCCTGTAACCAATGCGAATACGTAGAAGAGAGCATATAGTTTTGGGCGAATGTATGTTACAGGTGGGAGAAGACGTCTGCGACTCAATAAAGTATATATATTTATATTCTTGATAAGGACGACGAAGAAGACGTCGAACTCGGAAGCTAATTTTCAATATACATATGTCATTAACTTTTTACCATATCGATATATATCGATTTTGAGATTTTCTATGTATAACTTGTAAGTCGTAAGAGATAGATACGCCCAAATTGCTATGTAAGTATTTATGTATTAAAGGACAAATAAACATCAAAGTCATTGAAGAACACATTTTTCATATTGTGGGGGGGGGAAGAAGAAGCAAGGCAGCTCGAAGTTGGGTGCAGGGTATCGACTAGTCGGGCACTCTAGATTTAGAACACTTTGACTTGTTGTCTGTTCATTTCGCCTCGTTAGCAACGTGCACAAAGCCAAAGGTCCTTGGTCCTTGTGACGCGCACACGCTGCGTATACGCAACGGCGTTAAATTAGACATTCCATGTGTTTGTTGTTCGTGTTGTTGTTGCTGTATCTGTGGGAAAAACTCATCAGGCGTAAAAGACATGTTCAAGCACATGAGCTTATCATTAAATTTGATTTGCTTTATTGCCAATACACATGACATGCGGCATTGTCTCATTGGCACCGAAATGGAAATCTGGAAAAGTCGCATAGACACAGCAGCCCCTCGACCCCCCCAAAAACCAACCAAGGCAAAGTTTCGAACATCTCACTTAGTTGGCCATTAACGAGGCCACAATTAGGCCGCATTATGAACTCATTTATCAAGCTGCCAGAGGAAGAGATACCAGTACGAAAAGCAATTGCAATCAGTGTAAAGCATTTTGCAAAATTAACAACCAGGCTAAGCAATCGCCGTCAACCCATTCCAAGTCTTATGACCGAGACATCAAATTAATTGAGCTCTGTGGGTGACCAGAATCAGAGGACAGACTTTGAACTTCGAACATAGAAGCAGCGGGCAGCGAGCTGCTTGTAATGAGCCGGAAATTGTGTGCCTTGCTTCTAATGGCAACCGAATTATTAATTGCGTATACGCCTCCATGGACAAGGCCTGACTCGACTTATTGAAACGCTTTAAGCCAAAAGAAGACGCAGATGAACAGGTGGCTGGCGAAATTAAACGACTACGCAATATTCTGATGATTAAAACAGACGAAAAGAGTTCCAAGGATTACGGAATTCCAAACTTTCTGAACTATGTATATGCATATATAATATAGTTATATAATATTATACAAATAAAACTTATCTGCTTTCTGTCAGTATTTAAGATTGTTTAACTCTAGATATATAAATGATTGAGCTGTGTAATGTTCTTATAATCGCTAAGTAAAGCTCAAAAATAACCAAATCGATCATTATCGATTTCTATGAAATTGGGGGTTATCGATAATTTAAAATCTCTCAAGTTAACTCAAATAAAAGGAGGCTTCTGCCTCGATATTTATCGCTTCCGATATTGAATTATACTTGGTCTGCAAAATATTTATCGATTTCGATTAAATTGATAAATCGATAAATCCAATTGAAATTCGAGCATTACACACAACCAATATACCCCCTTAGCACTTTGCGAACAGCGCATAACAATTTAAAGAGCACACCGAATACGTGAGTTTTCAGTTACAACAACAAGAAGAAGAAGAAGACGAGGAACAGAGCTCTTCACATGCACTGACCCAGTTGCCACATGTCGAGGCACCGAATATAAATTGCTTGGCAGATTCGCTGCAAGATTTCCTCGTAGATTTGCCCAGGCCCCCTAGAGCCGAGGGCGTACAAAATAAAGCGATGCCCTGGCATTGTCCCGATTACATTTAAATATAACACATTGCATATTAAGTGGTCAAAATGCCAGGACCTCCCCCCCACCGAACTCCCTGTCAGCCCACTTGTTAAGCTTAAAGTGCGCGCTACAAAGCAGCCGACGCGGCGTGAAATATGCGAGCGCATAAGAATTTCATTTAAATGAGAGAGAGACACAGATAGTGAGAGGAGGCGAGAGAGAGGAAGTGGCATAAGTTAGGACATATTTCTCTCTTGGCGACATTTGACATGGAAAAATTACTTAAGTGTTTGCTAATTTTTTATGTAAATTTAATTTTTTCTTTCCTCCATTTTTTTGGCGCATAATTGCCATGTGAAAAACGCGCTGAAAGAGAACCCCAATTAGCAGCGTATTTACTTACCATAATTTAAGATTTAAGCTTTGCTCTGCAAACAAATTCCAACTGCAAAGAGGAAAGAGAAAGAAAATGTTGAAAGTTATTACGATTTGTATTGCTAATGAGTTTGCTTTATTAAATATCAAGTGTTATTTTAAGATACTTGGTTTTTTTTTTGGGTTGTAGACAAGTTCGTTACAAATAGTTTGTTATTGAATAACAATTTGTAAAAGTTCATTCCAGCAGTTTGTTATTGAACTTTTGGCATAACTTAGGCAAAAAAAAAAAATAAATTCAATGAAAACTTGAACTGCATTTGGTAAAAACAACAAGCGACAAAAGAGAAAGATACAAAAACAAGCAAGTTAGAGTGCTTTAGAGGAGTGTGTGCTCGACTGGGAAATACCCTATACCTCATTTTGCAGCTATCATAAATGTGATAAATTACAGAGTGTGTGCTATACAAGCGTCTATTTATTAAATTAGGACTATCTACCTCTTAAAAGCGTCGAGATATGCTCAAATAAATCAATCGATATTTATCAATTTCATTGAGGCAAGGCAATATAATATATTAAAAGATTTATGTACCTTAAAATGTGAATGCCATAGGAGAACTATAAGATTCTAGCTGATATGGTCTCTGGTATCACATGCTCCTATTAACACAGAGATATACAACCCTATCGATACTCATCGATTCTGTGAATATCGACTCGTTTATACGAAGAGAGAGATTGACATTGCTTCAGCTGTTCATCAGAGAGAGTCGTAGAACCTTACCTATGCCTGTGACATACGTTCGCTCTAAACCATCATGCCCATTCTCAATAGCTACAGGGTGCACAAAAAATGTAACGACAAAAAACTACACGATCTGACATAAAAGGTTATCAGCGACGTATCTTTTAATTAACCAATTGACATATGACTTTTGTCTGGCAGCTTGTTGTTCTTCTGCTTCTTCATATTTTTACAACAATAGATGTTGTTGTTGTTAAATATTGTTGGACAAAAGTTGTGCAAACTTTTGAAAACTTTTTCAAGCCAACAATCAGTAGACAAAGCGAATTCAATATTATATAATAAAAGAGATTAATAACGTGCGGGTTTTCTATAAAAATTTCTCTGCACATGAAATTTTAAGCAGTTGTCTAACTTGTGAAATCTGAAGAAATATTATGTCATTATAAAGAGGCGGCACCTAGCTGAAATCTCTGTCCCTCTTAAGCTTTACAAATGAGTTCTATTCACTTTTCCAAGTATTTTATGCGAACTTAATGAGCCAAGAACTCAGCTTTTGTTTATGTTCGGCTGAAAAGTCATTTCAACTGGAGAACTTGGCGCTTGTGCATTAAACTTAAGATTTAAAGGTGTGCGAATAATTTTTGTGGCAACTGTATGCGGTTTCTATGGGATTTGACTTGAAAATAAACAAATTGTACTTTTTATTACAACGAAGCAAAATAATGTTTTTAAAAAGTGTTGAAGCACTACAATTTTAGATGAGATTTATTTTATAGATGTTTGTTAAGTTTGCTTTAAGTTTTTTTAGTTTTGTTAAAAGCTATTCTTGCAAAGAATTCTTTTTTACAATTTTTATCGTTCACTTTTAAAATTACATTCAAAATATAGAAATAATATTTATTTCGAATCAGTCTAAGCTTGTACTACTTCTCTCTTCGTGTTTATTTGCTTAACATGGACACGCACGAGTTACAATTATTAAACACGAACACGATAATCGCTCCACACCAACTGCATAAATATAAGTATATTCTTTTTGGTTCCCACTCAACTTGAAGTCGTCTTAACTGGGAACTCTGAGCATATTTTCTGCATATTCATTTTACCACTTCTGTTAATTCGACACTTAACTGTGCTCCGGACTTCAAGAGCGCCCAAGCGTCGACCCACGCGACCTCAGGGCGACACAGTAATAAAAATAAATAAGCGTCAACCGTTCTTTACACACATACACACATACAACCCATATTATATACTTATATACACTCTTTTTTCATTTTTGTATTTGTTTAACAATTAAATTCTGTGTGTATTTTTATCATGATGATCTTGGTGTGTAAATGCTAAGCAGACAAACAGAATGACAAATTGTGAGGGACAATTGTTGTTGTCGTTGTTGTTATTGTGCTCCTACTTAAATATAATATGTATGCAACAACATATACACTCGAAGAAATCAAGAGCATTTCGTACTTAAATCAAATTTAGGCAAAAACTAGCCGAACTAATTTTAGAAATTTCAAATAAAATGAAAAATGTTTGATAATAATGATCGAAACTGAAATGGAAATTTCCATTCAAAATAAAATTAATATAATTAAATTAAATTTCTAAATTAAAGCAAGAAATATTGGTTAAAGAATTTAATTAAAATACATAAATAAGAACACTTCAAATAAACACAAGATTCTTTTTTGAGGAAATCTAAGTCCAATTTAAAAATTTCCAAAGACAAAAGACTTTTTTACAATATTCAATCCAAGAAACAACCAAAAAACTGTGAGCTTTCTTTTGAGAGCAAATCATACTCATTTTAAGTGTAAAATGTCTTATAATAAGTAAGATATATTCTATACTCATATCATGGCTGCTTTTTGCTCTCCAATAAGTATAGTCCACTTATTTCAGGACTGCTTTTTACTCTATAGTCTAATTTTGATATCAAATTTCATAAATTACTTAGGAATTTTCAGAAATAAAATATAAATACTTGAAATTGGAAACAAAACTGGTATACTTTAATATATAAAATCTATACATATAAATTAATAATTGTTCTCTAAGTGTATTTATATACATAACTAACCCCATCATCGTCGTTCATTTGTAATACAATAACTTTTCTCCAAGTGTATTTGTTTTGTAACTCCCATCATCCTCATGCATTTGCTATACTATAACTCCCATCGTCCTCATGCATTTGCTATACAATAACTTTTCTCTAAGTGTATCTATGTAGTAAACCCCATCATTCATGCCTACAATAAAATTTCTCTAAGTGTATTGTAGCAGTGTAATGTAGCAAACCCCATCATACTTTTCGATTAGTGTATCAATGTAGTAAACCCTATCATTATGCATACAATAACTTTTCGCTAAGTGTATCTATGTAGTAAACCCCATCATTCATGCATACAATAACTTTTCTCTCAGTGTATTTATGTAGTAAGCCCCATCATACTTTTCGCTAACTGTATCTATGTAGTAAACCCCATCATTCGTGCATACAATAACTTTTCTCTTTCATCATCGTCATGTTTTTCTAATACAATAAATTTTCTCTAAGTGTATTTACGTCATGCACTGGCTCTGTTGTTGCATTGGATTTCTTGATTCCCGGTTAACTTCGCTGGTTAGTTAGCTCGTTTGCCGGCTGTGGGGTTGACTTTTTCAATTTGTGTGCGGCGTTGCATACACATATATGTGTAATTGTCGCTGCAACGTGCAACGTGCAACATGCGGCAAAAGATGACGCGGCTGCTTCTTTTGATGCTGCTGCTGCTTTTGCTGCTGCTGATGTTCGGCGTTGTGCGTGCAGCTGTTTTGCTGTTTGCTTTGTTTATGCTGTTTGTTTTGTTTGTTGGCCTGGTTCTCGATGTTGTTGTTGTGCTTGTCACAATTGTTGCTGCTGTTGCTGTTGCCGGTGTCTGCGCACAGTTGCTTTAATTATTGTCGCAACACTCGCCTGCATGATTGTGTGTGTGTGTGTGTGTGTGTATGTTTACTTATTTATATTTATGTGTATATTTATATCTGCTTCCGACTTTTAATTAATTTATGTATATAGTATGTGTGCTTCTGCCTTGCATTCCCCGAGGCGCTTAAACAGTGCGTTGAATTCAGCCAACAGTCCGCAAAAGAACACTTCAATTACATTTATTTACAATGCACATCCATACAAAAAAAAAACAATGCGAATTAAGCAGTTAAAACCAAGAACAACCAGAAATTACTGCACAAAAGTAATTAGCAGGCAAAGTAAAATACATGTACATTTACTTTACGTGTGTGTGTGCAGGATTAAAGCGCTGAAAAACTAATTTTTTATATAACGAATAATTTATGTTTGTGTGAAATTAATTAATAATTGACAAAAAAAGTTGTACATAAAAATATTTTTGGTCTGAATATTATTGTCAAAAGGAAAAAGTAGAGCAAGCTTTTTAGTCATATTTACTATCTAAAATCGCAAATGTATCTGCAAGGCGATACTTTTTCTCATCCGACAGCAGAAACGTCTTCAGGGTACACTTAAATATTATCAATATTATTATTGTTATCTATTGTCATCTACCAGCAGAATTGCTGTCAAATTATTAATGCTGTTAAGTATTAACGAAAAATGTTTGAAAGTCGCAAATGTATCTGCCAGGCGATAATTATTCTCATTCATTACTCATCATTGAAACTGATACCTTAATATTGAAAACATTATTATTAGTTAATCTTAAATATAATATATCTTCCAGGCGATACCTGTTCTTATTAACTAGGCGATACACCTACCTAGGCGTAACGCCTTTATGTATCCCCAAAATTATCTTTCGCCTTGGAAGATAATAGGGCGAAATGTTAGCGATAGTTGTGATGAGCTGCTGTTTGGATTTGCATTCTTTTTGGCTGCCCAACATTCCCAACCGAAAATTAATATATGTGACCTATTTGGCAGGACTCCAGGCACACTTCGATTGAGGTTATGTGACCGGGGCGCAACTGTACTTTTTAAAATATATATTTATGCCAAATCAGCGCAATTATGAAGCGTAATGCAATAAATTGTTACAAATTGTGATTTACTCGCGTCATAAATTCAGAAACTGTTGCCAAATGTGCGAAACTTTCATTTAAATTATGCATTGGCCGTGCCAGAGGGGAGTGGAGAGGGGGTGAGGGGGAGGCGTGCCAAAGTTTAAATGCGATTATAATGATAATTAATTATGCATTTAAATTAATTAAATTAGCACGCACAGCGAATCGCGGACTTTGCATAATGCCAGCTAATGCTGCCGCAAATTCAATTGTATTTCCAGATGGCCAAT